GTTCATATTCCGACGATAGACCTGACAAGATACGCATCGCCTGATCTCTCTTCCTTAAACTCTTTAACGAATAATGAAGATGCATAATCCTGGTAGTTGAAGAGACTAAAAAATATTTACTGAAGCTGTTGTCAAATATTGCAAGCAGTTTGACACCGAACTAGGGCTGGCAAAATTGAGGGGCTTATAAACGCAAGAGCACTATCTTGTTGTTTATACTAGGGATTCAAATAGCGGAAAGTAACTGCAATAGCGGCAGTTATTTTGCGGTAGCGCCACCATCCGATATTCAAAAAAATAACGGTGGGTAACGGAATCACGTCAATAGCGGCCAATTGCGCCCGCAATTTAACAGGTAACAATGTATAGTGCCGATAATGGGACGCTATTACCGTTATCTACTGCTATTTTAAAAAAGAAGAAGGCAAAACTGAAACCTTACGCCGTCGAGCTTCTCCGCCGGTGAAGATGTTGAGCAGTAACGACGGACTTCCACTTTGTAGAAGATGAAACTTGAAACTTCTTTTCTTTGTTTCAAAAAATGAAAGGTGGAGAGGGGGAGTTGAGAATGATAGCAGAATTTTTTTTTTGTTTAAGACAATAAAAGGTTAGGAAAGGAGAGAGGAGTTGGCATATTTTTTTTAAATATAATTTTAAAGGATATATTAATTTGACACCTCTCCCACCTTTTAGAATTTATAATTTAATAATTAGTTTAAAATATATACTTTAATTTTTATTTAATTTAGTTTTAATTTCAGTAATCTAAATTTCTGTAATTTAAATTTTACATTTTAATTATATTTAATTTAATCATTTTAGAGTAAGTGGTGCGACATTTAAAAAAAAATCACGACCGATACAACCGTAATGACCGCAATAACATCCGTTATGACTGTAAACGTGATAAACACGACGCGACCGAAAACGTGACGGCGAACGCTATTTAAATCTCTGGTTTATACAAAAGATAATCATCATTCAAAATCTTTTCACCCGTTGCATTATCATATATTGAGACGGTGGAACAATAGTCCCATCTATATGACCCATCAAAGATAGGCTCTCAATGGTTAAAAAAAAAAATCTGTTTCCTCCATAGAAGATAGTTGGTGTCATCCAGCCTTATAGTTATGATCCTGTTACTGAAAGGCTTTGACACCGTCGCCATTGAAAACTTTAACGACCGAGCTTGAATATGTATCAAGAATTTTATCAAAATATCATATTAGACAGAAGATATGAACTCAAGATCTTAACCAAGAACATACAAAGAGTAACTGAAAGAAGAAATTATTCTGAAATATTATTGGACACCGTAAAAATATCTAATACAAACTAATCGTGAGATTTATAGTTAACGAGCTGCTATTTGTAATCATTTAACTGTTTTTTATAACAAATTAATACACAATTAACACATTTGATTTCCAAATTTTTTTCTCCAATATGCAGGTACTACTCTAAGAAACACAATTTGATCGCTAAGCGACCATATATGCAAACTGAGAAAATTCTTAAAAAGCTGTAAGTGAATACATAAAACACATAATCAAGCCAAGAAAGACATTGTCTGAACTTCCATCGGAGATTTTAAGGCTTCAGAGCGTGCCTTGCCCCAGCATTGGATGCATGGAAACCTTAAACAAAAATGGCATACAAATATATTTAAAAAAAGGCTTAAATATACAAAAGGTGTGCAACGTATGTTCGTTTTTACAGTTTAGTGTCTAACGTTTTTTTCGTTTCAATTTGGTGTCTAACGTTTCATTCCATTACTCAAAATGGGTCACGCCGTGACGGACTGTTAGTTTTCTCCGTTAAGTGACACGTGTCACAATCTGGTAATTTTAAAAATAAATATTAAAAATATTATATTTATAAAAAAAACCTTATATCTTTTAAATTACAAAAAAGCCCAAAACTAATACCGAAGCTTACACACAGTGGCGGACGGTGAGAACGACGACTACGATGTGATCCACTGGTTGGATTTTGAGCGGACGGCGACGAGGAAGATAAATATGGTGGCGGTGAGACGAACGGAGGTCCGAGGCGACCGTAATCGTCCGAAATTCGAGGCGTTGGGTGGGTTTTCGATGAAACTTCAAAGGCTTGATTTCGACGAACAATGATGTATATATACAAATTGTTTTGGGGTTTTGAGATGACGACAACGAAGAAACTAACTATGGTTGTGATTAGACGAACGAATGTCTGAAGCGGCTGGAATCGTCCAAAATCCGATGAGTTGGGGTGGGTTTTATATCCCGGAATTGTAACATCATAAGCCAGAGCTTGCACTACCTCTCCTCCGATCCATTTTCGACTGCAATGTATTTATCTCCACCTTTTCCCTCTCCACCATCAAACCCTCCCTTTCCCTAAAATCCCTTTTCTCCCTTCTTTACTCTGTAATCCAATTTCTGCCCAGCCATGATATATACATTTAAGCCTTCTTTTTTCTCGTTTTTACTTATAAACACTCTATCAAACATTTATCTCCACCTTATCAATCGCTCCTTGAATATTAGTTTCGAGTAAAGGTGATTTTTTTTTCTTAAGATTCAATAGTTTGGTTTCATCATGTTTCTATATTATTACAAACAGAGCAGTTGATTGTAAAGTCCTTGCTAATTTTTTCTCTTTCTTTCTTGATGCCTATAATCATATTCCAACCCATGTGTACAATTGTCACCATGATTTGCTTAATTACTAAACATATGCCTGCAGGTTTATGGTTGATTCCAAGAACAATATTCAAGAAACAATGAAAGATGACTTTTGCTTACTTGAATATTCGGATGATTTGGAGAGGGATAGTGATGATGACGGTTTTTCAAGATCTTGAACAATCCCGGAGCACTAAACTCGGTTTTTCAAGTAAAATTTTAATGGGTCTAGGCTGAAACCCCTAACGGATTCACCATGGATTCCTCGGGTTTCGGTGCTCTCTTTCTTGGTTTTGGACAACAAAGAAGCAAAATTCTTGCTAGCTTTGAGTGAGTTGTGCAAACGAAGCGGAGGATTTGGGAGGTGAAAATTAGAAAGTGGAGGTTTTGGTTTACAAATATAGTCTCCATGTAATCTGAAGAATTTTAAAAATAGAAACTGAAACGACATTGATACTGATAAAAGAGAGGTATTTAGATCAGAAATGGCCTATCCATTTTCTTTGATTTCTTTAGGCATCTTAGTGTTCATGAAGCAAGCATCAAAATTATGTGAAACTTGAATCAATTTTAGTGCATCTCTTTCCTCTTTCAGAACATTCCACGGCAACTCTGAGCTTTTTTAGGCGTCTGAATATCCATGGAGACGGAAAAAGCAGCTGCAAAGAGATGAAGAAAATATAGGCGTTGGGGTTAGAGATGGTAATGTTGTTGTGGAGCTGGGGCGATGGGTAGGGTAGGGTAGGGGAAAGGGTAGTTTTTGTATATAATTAATTTTATTTAATAAATTTTATTTATTCAGATAAAAAAATTAAGGGGTGACGTGATATATTTTAATTGGTCATTAATTCTTTTTTTTTTTAAATTAGAATTGAGATAAACTAGCTAATAATTTAAATTTTAAGGGACAAAATGTTATAAAAGGTATTTTAAGATACAACTTGTTTTTTTTTATAAGAAAGATACGACTTGATATAAATAATATATTTTTAGAATGGTGCCTTTAAACTTTTAAAAATTTAAATAAAGAGGTCCTGTAAATTAGGGGTGTATAAATTCAGGTATCCGGATCTTTAGATAATTGATTTTTCGGCCCGTGTTTCGATCTAGATATTACAGTACTCGGATTTTGCGAGTACCTAAATACCTAGTTTTTTTAATTATTAATTAAAAAAACACACACAAATTTAAATATATATATAATATTATTAATAATTAAATATATAATAATATAATATCATATATATAATATATAATAATAATTAAATATATCATATTATTTTATATAAAAAAATCTCTAAACGGGTACTCGGGTAATCGGGTATCCGGAAAAATTCAATTTTGTGACCCGAGCCCGACCCGGTCGGGTAATTTTTTTAGAAATTTACTCGATTTTTTTAGGTTCGAGTCGGCGGGTCGACTAGTCGGGACAACTGGATCAGGTATTTTTGCACACCCCTACTGTAAGTTATGGAGATACACCGAGAGGAAGATGAAAATATAATTACTTTTTTATTTTATTCAAGAATTTTTGGGTATTTAATAATAGGTCTCTAATAATTATTAGTTTATCCATTAATAATATAATATAATATAATATGACTCATCAATAATGTATGAGATTTATGCATACATAATACATTAAATATAATCTCATATAAAATATCGTAAATACAAATAGAATGACATGAATTCAACGATTGTATATGGATGTTGCTTCCGCAAATATTGTTGGCTTTTAAAATTTAATTATTATTTTAAAGTAATAATCTTAATTAGATGATCGTTAGGAGAATAATGCTGGAAGAGATGAAGATTTCAATCATTAAGCGTTAAAATGATACTATAAAAATTATTATTCCAAAATACAATGATAGTGGACAATTATTTTACTCAATGATAAAATTTAGATATATTTTGAACCACATATGACATTACAGATTTTTATGGACAAAACGAAATACAAATGTTATAAAAAAAACAAAAGAAAAAGTTGATAACCTTAATATATTTTAGTTTTTTAATAATTTTATGTTGGGTTTTGATAATACCAAATTTCATGTGAAAGCCACATGGTATGCTTTTTAATTAGTTTTTTTTTTTAAATAATCCATTATAATCGATTAATAATGCATAAAAACGATACTAATTTGATTATAGCAATATTTGCTTTCGATTGAAAGCCAAAGCAAAATTATTGAAAAAAATGAAGGAATAATTCTAAATAATTATATTGATGATAAAACAAGAGAGATTAAATCAAGGTCATTGATAAGCCAGCCAATGGATGGTCAGAAAACCTTCTATATCTTCTTGTATTATGGATCAATTAATTGCTGTTGCTGTAGTCTGTTTCTGTGGGGACAAATTACATCATCCGTTGGTATGTTGGGTTAGTGAATGGGGAATACACTGTTATGAGTCGTAGTAGAGTATAAAAGCTTTTGTAATGGATGGGGTCATCAGTGAGGGTGATCACAAGGGATTTGGCCAAAAATATCAGGGCATGAATCCCATTTCCCCTGATCTCTAGCCTCCCAATATCCACCAATATAACGGTAAGGGTCACTGTTTTTATCCTTTGCAAACCACCTTGGCTTCCACCCCCTCTCTTGCATCTTTCGAGCCTGTTCACACCATCATTTACAACTATCAACCTACTTGCCCTTCAAGGCTACAGGGAAAATAACTCTACATTTCTCTAGGGGATTCTTTTTTTTACTGATTACACCATGTTTTTTCTGCAGTGTAACTCAACTGTCATATGCTTCCTAGTGAGGATGCTAAACAATACAAATTGGATGTGATGGTGCTTTGGGTATTAACTATTGACCACTGTTTTATCAAGGCAAACATAGGTCTAAAACTTGGAACCTAGAAGGAAAAAAAAGCAATTTTGGCAATCATAGTTTCCTAAATTCTCTAACAAAGAGAGCAGTTCATGGTGACACTTATATCCATGGCTTGCCAATGTGCACCACAGACACAGAGAATTGACAATAAAGATGAAACAAACTGTAAAACTTACCTGTCGTTGCCGCTGTTCCAACCGCAACTTCTCTGAATTTGCCATTTCATACTCCCCATTTTCCAGATACCTTTGATCGGGTCTCAGCCTTGAATCAGTAGGAGGTAGCTTTTCCTGCATACAGAAAGGGGATTAAACAGCATCCCAGTTATAGTGTATGCAGGCACAGCGCAATGGTTAAAAGTTGTTCCATTTCCTTATGACATAAACATAAACATCCGGTCAAAACTATTATATTAATCACCTTGAGACCAGGGGTGAGCTCATTCAATGTGATGGCAAAACGTGTTAAGTTATATCTGGTGGGATTTTTCGGAGGCTTCCTCCGTTTCCAAAGTAGATTGGCTTCCGATAGAGACCCTTGCCCTTTTCCCTTGGAACAATCTCCATTCACATAATGCATGCTTTCATTCCATTTTCCAAATATCGTAACCACTGTCTTTCCATTCCTATCTTGAACTGTACCATGTACCTGAAGTGCAATCAATTTTATATTTAAAAAAAAACTAGGATAATAGAAAATATCGTAATACTATATAAATACATACTTGGTATAATTGTATAAAATGTTTTTGAGGAAAATGAAATATAACCTGGTGAGGATTTCTGTCAACAATAGATTGCTCCTTGAATTTCAGCTTACACGAATATTCAAGATTACCTTTTACGTGCATAGTACCACTGTGATCACAGTACAATTTTCCAAGTATGAGATTGTATATTGATGTTGTAACCTGGGAAAAGAAAGTCCGTTTTCAATTGGAAATCAAATATATCTTCTACATGCATGCACCACAATTTTCAATTGTATGCAACAAATATATGTCTACGTACAAGCACATGCCGGAATATGTGTGTTAACTTTTGGGGTTATACCTTACTCCACTGGAACACTTCTCCATCTTCAAACTCCAAGGTCAAAACACCAACAGGATCAAGTGTAATTGAGCGACCCCAAAATTTGCTCTTCAAATTGCTATCACCCCAAAATTTCCATCCTGTGCCCTGACAATGACATGCTACAACAGTAGGATGATGACTGACCTGACACCAAATATGTAATAATTATCAGACAAATTAATAGATGATATTAAAACATAAACAAAGAAACAAGATAAGAGATGGCTATGGTTCATGGAGATATATACACAACATATATAATAAGCACTATGCGGTTCTTTTACCAGTACCCTAGACGGTGCAGGAGGTATTGATGCCTCAACAACCAAAGGAGAGCCACTAATATTGCCAAGACTTAAGATCTCATGCATATGTAGTTTAAGATTGTCTATTCAATGTTCGGCGTCATCTGCAACACTCCTGTAACCTATTTCCCTTCCCCAAGTAATTTGACAATGGCAAGGTTGATTTCACCTAATGATAGAAAGCTACTAGCTTCATTTATAGTTAGGCACCCTAGAAATATAATTTTAGTCGATGTCTGGTGACCGAAAAGCTTGTTCCACTTGTTTGCTTTGTTAAGGTTGAACCCGTTACAATGTTTTCAACTTAGCTGACTTTTCTATGAGAATTTAGACCAAAGTAAAAAGGAAGCAGTAGAAGAAGAAACTAAGAGAGGAAACCAGAGAGAGAGAGAGAGTGGAAATCCTCATTCTACCTTTCTACTCAACAAAGTATCAATAATGTACTAAATTTGCAAAGCTCTTGCAGTAAAGCATTTTGACATCAGGGATATAAAAATAGGTTTAATTTCAGATCTGTACATAAAAAGTCAAAACTAAGTGCAATGTTCCTATGTCTGAAAATTACACATGAAAAAAAGGTTTTGAGTTTTGTGCATATCGAAGTTTATTGTTAAAATGACTCTTTGTTGATGAGGTGAACAGACACATTGCCTGTCAAAAGGTTGATTTTAGAAGTGAGGTTAATGCACAATGAAGTTTGAAGGCAACTTTGTGTAAATGCAGGAAAACAAAGATAGACATGGATATACCACATCTTGAATATAGACAAACCTTCTCTGAGAAGAAGCGAACGCCTTTATCTGGATAGTCAGCCTCATATGTTTCCCCTAATAAGGGATTAAAAGGTTTGCACATTCTTCCTTCAGTTGAAGAATATCCAGACACAGCAAATGCAACCACATTAAGAATTCTCATGAGACCATTCCCCTGCACGTTTTAGAGGGGGAAAATTATGTGTGAGGAGAATCTTGCCAAAGATTCAGATTGTTGAAGTTCATGATGAGAGTGGACTGGTATAAGCATATAAAGGATAGATGCGTAACAGAGAGAAAAGAGGCTGGGAATCAGATAAACGAAAGATGCATAGATAATTCAAGGAAGTGCATGATAGTGAAATATTAGAGTAAGAAAACTTTGTATTGCAATCAATGCTCTTTTTTCTTAAACAAAATAGTACGGACCTCTATGACTCACCCTATTCCCCCATTCATTTGCACGGTCGAGTAGATATGAATATTCCAAATCCTCAAAACACTTTTGAAGAGAAGAGAGAGGCTCATTGAAGTAAACAGGAAGACAAACTTTTGCAAGGTCTTTCCCAATATTATCCTTAATTATTGACCATAGACTTACACCCTTCTCCTTTTCAACTGGGTCAGGCAACTTCTTTCGTCGTTGAATGAAAGGAAAGTTACTTCCAACCGATTTGATTGCAGGATCGATGTCATCTTCAGAACCAAGAGTATTAAGGCCTTCATCATCTGAAGAGAGAATTTGAGTCCGGAAATCAGAGCAGTTCTCTTTGAATGAACTTGATGATAAAAACTCGCAAGTATCAAAGAAATGATGGTCATCTTCATCAGTTTCTTCTTCTGCAGCATCAATTCTTTCATTATCATCATCTGAGTCAGTTGTATATCCTTCTGAGTAAGAATTTGGAAAAAGAAAAAATGATATCAATGGAGATGCTATGAACAGAGAAATTTATATAATCAAACAATCATCACTATAAATACCTATTAAACTTATTAAATGGAACACATAATAAGGAATAAAAGAGATGAGCATTAGCCATACGTGATCTAGTGGTCACATAATGTAAAAAAACAGGGGTCCTTTACTTCCTCCGCTTAACAAGCATTATAAGTTGTCTACAAATAAGTACAGGTAATCGTAGTACTCCGGCACACTGACTAGAGAACAGAAAATAAACTTCATATCTAATAACAAACTGTGAACACTGATTATAAGCATCAACCACATATCTAGGCAGATAATCATGGGTCCAGCATAAATTGGCTTATAGAACCAGCAGTTGTAAGATATAGTCTTACTGCCTAATATCTTACCACTAGACTTCTCCTGCGTTGTCATAGAGGAAGCCCCAAGATTCAACTTGCTTTGGCTCTCAATGATCACTGTATCTTCCAAATCAACCTTTTCCGTCTACAAAAAGAAAGTGCCAAAAGCAATTTCTTAGCCGAAGATTATGAAAAGAAGTAAAATTTCAGATATTAATCTCTAGTCATACCAGCAGTTACAGGCTGAAAATAAGTTATGATTCATTTCAACAGTTTAACAAAAGCCAAAATACACCCTTTTCAGAATTCCAAAAGAAAATGGGTAAGAAAGAACATGACGAACTGATGTAATTGTTTCTGAACAATAAATTCAGTTTTAAAATTGAATGCCGCCGAAAGCCGTAAATTTGTTAATTTACTTTACCTCTAACTGACGCAAGGTTTCGATTAGAAGACACTGTTTCTGCGAAAGCAACAGCAGCTGCTTCTGCAATGCTGAGAATTCTGTCCTCATAATCCCCTCGCTATCTTGGATAGCCAATTCGCTAACCCCTTCTTGCATCAACCGTTGCCTCAACTTCTCCGTGGAAACCACCGTATTGTTCACCTGAGCCATGAGCTCGCTATTAGGTATCCTAGGAAATAAATCCTTAACCGCCTGAAGTGCTTCCATCCACGCAACCCGATCGTCCCGCGTCTCGGCTCGTAAATGAAGCATTTTCGTTCCAGTGTAAATCGAGAACCTCTTATCATCTGATTTGGTTTCATGGATCGAGGAAACCTGAGACAACAAATTCAAGAAATCAAAAATCAATTCAAATCAGATTCTATTTTCATTAATTCATGTTCGGTTAGTTTTTTTTTTCCTTCTTTGAGTTGACCTTTAGGTGGACTTCACCGAAGGGTTTGCGACGGCCTGGGGAATGCCGAGAAGTGGGTTTGCGACGGCGGGTGATAATACGTAGAGACTTTTCGCCGATAACTTTGCACCGCTTTTCCGTTTCTTGGCTGACGATGATCTTATCAGGTCCGTGGAGTTTATAGTACGATAACACCCCGTCTTGCAAAACGAACCACCTCGGTTTCCAACCTTTCCCATAATTCACCCATTTGTAAAGCACTCCAGAAATCCCGTTACCTACAATGTTTTTTAGCTTCACATCCACTAGAGGCGAAGTAGCGAGAGGCGTCGTCGCCTCGTTCCCCAAATGCATCCAGTTTCTCTGGCTCATCCGATTATGATTCGCGCTATTGCTACGATGATAGTGAGGCCGGTCGCTATGATTGTACGGGCACTGCCTTTGGTCCAAGGATCGGGACGATTTGGACCGGAATGTAGACCCGGAAGAGAAGGAGAGAGGCTTTTTCAAAGGAATATTCATGTTGATAACGTCGTCGGAAAGTGGTTGACCGGTGAATGTTGCTTGCCCATGTACGGTTGTTCCAAACAGAAAAAAAAAGAAAAAAAAAGAACTCGCATGAATAATTGTCAATTATTAAGAAAATGAAGTGAATAATTGTCAAATATTAAGAAAATGAAGTGATTGAGAGACTACGGTGTCGGTAAAAGCTGACGAGGCGACGGAGCACGGTGGCGTTGCGGTTAAAGTAAACATCATGGTTGTGTTTGGTTTTGTTGGATTGGAAATTTGTTTTTTTTTTTTTTCCTTCTTCCTATATATGTTGATGTTAGTGCAGTTTGTGGATGGAGACGGTTACAATAATAATATGACTAAAAAGTAAACAAGGACGGACGTTGTTGAGGACAGGGCTAGCCGTTGGCTGGAACTTCGGGCTGTAACCCCACTGAGAAGAGGGAACCAAAATCAATGTTTCGGTCATAGGTTGAAATTGTTTACAAATTTGGAGTGATATTTATAATGATCATTATTAGGCTTCAACTAAAATAAAGTCCCTAAACTATACCCATTTTCTACTTTAAGCCCCTAAACTATTTTTAGTCAAAATAAGTCCTTAAACTATTATATGTAACCACTTTAAGTACATAAACTATTTTTGGTGCACGAACCAAATCACCTATGTGCTAAAGGAATTGTTGTTATTCCTTGAGTACTCGTGTTCGAGCATCATAGATGTTATGGTGTGAGCGTTTATTTTAAAAAGTTGATAGTTTATCTTTGAACATATTGTCTTGTACTTATCTCATACTAATAATAAAATTATTTTTGGTCAAAATAAGTCCTTAAACAATGTCTTTTTTTTTTGCTTCAAGCCTCTACATTTTTTTTGCCAAAACAAGTACCTAATTTTGTATAACGTATCAACATCTTATTAGTCGAAAAATATTTTTCTAAGTGAAAATGATAGGGCTTGAAATGATTAAATATAATAGTTTTAAGTACTTAGTTTGACCAAAATATAGTTTAAGGGCTTAAAACAAAAATATGGCATAGTTTAATTACTTATTTTTACTTTAAGCCTAATAATTAATATTATTTTATATATGAGGAAAGTAGACAAATGGTCCTTTGACTATATGATAATATTTTATTGAGTCTCTTTTGACTTTTAAAAGTTAAAAAATAGTCTCTCAACTATCAGGTGCTTCTTTGTTGAGTCTCTCAATTATTAAAAGTAACAAAATAGTCATCCGACTATTTATATGTTTTAAATGCATCCTTTTCTATTAAAAATTTACAGTCGTCTGAGTTAGATGTTAACATGCTCAGTAAGATATAATAAAATTTGATCTCATAATCTCAAACGACTATACAACTCAAACGATTTTGAGATCAAATTTTATCATATCTCAGTCAGAAAGTTAATATCATCTTAAATGACAGTTAGTTTTTTTAACATAAAAACATGAGTTTGGGGTATATGAATAGTTAGATGATCACTTTATAACTTTTAATAGTCGAATGACTTAACAAAGCAACATCTTATAGTCGAGTAATTATTATGTAACTTTTAATAATCGAGAGACTCATGAAAGTAACATCTTATAGTTGATGGACCAGTTATGTATTTTACCATTTCGATGCGGATGATGATTTTGATATTATTTTATAAAAAAATATTTTTAAAAATATAAGAGTAAAATAAATTTATGATACTCAAATAAAGCACGTGCGCTCATGTGCAGGAGACAACAATATAGGGTGGTTATGTGCATGTGAACGCTTTGACTTCAATTATTTAACGAGAGTCAATTCTATTATATGTATGCCGTTACTGTTTGATCTGCTTCATAATCGTATTTATATTTTTGATTAAGTTTAGTCATTGTTTAATTGAACAACTAAATACATCGACGACTTTAAATCTAAGGTCTACTTTGACTATATCTTAAATTCCTAAATAATATACGTCTATAACCATCGCTAGACTTATTTCTTTTTCATAATATTTCGCCCACATAATTAGTATAATAATACAATAATAAAAATTATAAATTGTTGATTTTTTTTAAAATCTGAGAATAACATGTTTAATGATAAAACGCGTTTCTCTTTGTGAGAAAAGGTTTTAATTTCCCCCGGGCATTAGGGAAAATGGATAATTAATGAGTGGATTTGTGATTAGGGAGGGAAAATGTAAAATGAAATTGACAATCGTGACCATCATCAACTACCCACATGAAATGCCTGTAAAAGCTATTTGTTCTGTTGTGCTTTGCAGTGTCAAAAAGCTTTTGAAGAGCAGGCGGGTATGACAAATGACCAATCGCTAAACGATGTTGACAAACTCACACCGCTGCATACCAAACAGCAGGAGACCATGGAACATAATTTCCCTTGTTATAAACAAGCTCAATAGCTCATATTTTGGGACTATAATCATATGAGATAAAAACAAATTAAACTAAGAGAATTACCCGTAAGAGATCCTTACAATTGGATACCCAAATTAATCAAAATAACTATAATTATATGATACATAAAGAGGCTGACAAGAAGTCTTAACTAAATAATATCAAGTAGCAAAGACATTTTCTTTTCGACCTAAGAAACTATGTCCAGACTGCTGGACATGAAACAGAAAAAAACCCAACAAATACATGGTACAGAACACAAACAAAAGAAGAACATTGTTGTGCCTTGGATTTTTAGTCGTGGATGAGTGACTGACTGTGACTGTGATTCTAATTTTAGATGAGGCTATTGTAGAAGGCGGCTACTGTGATGCTAAGAAATTGGCATCTATTTTTTCTTTAATTTTTACACTAACAAATATTTCACTCTGTTGATCATATTTTTTTAATAATAAAACAGCAAGTTTGATAAAAGCAGATACAATCATGAAATCTCTCAAGGATAATGCTTCATCTCGGATACCACAATTATTTTCCTTTTTTTACATATTATTACAAAGGGACAAAAATTGAGCTCAACTTTGGCATCGTACAATCGCAACTGATAATTTGAGAAAATAAAAATGAAGATAAAGAAAACACAAATTTTACGTGAAAATCCCTAAATAATATAGGGTGAAAACCACAAACAAAGATAGAAGGATTTCACTATGAGAAAATAAGAATTACAACTTCTCTCGATCTAACAGGGAGAAAAAAATAACAATTCTCTCTTGATAAAAAGGAGAAAACAACTCTCAAGAAAATTCTCTAATTTCTCTAGTATTGGGAGAAAACTAGAATGATTTGGGATGATTTTGAAGCTAAATGGGTTAGGGTATTTATAGTTGAAGCTTAAGGACTAATATTGTAAATACCCTAAAATGTAGGGACTAAATTTACAATTTTTCCATACAAAAAAAATATGCTCCTTTTTGGTGCCCCCTCTTTTTGACTAATTTTTCAGTGCATCATTTTTTGACTTTTAACAATCTTCCACTTGAAGATTTGATTGGAATAATCATATCTTCACACCATTCTTTCTACCTTGTACATCTTTGTTGTATTCCAATGCTCTTTGTCTGGATTCTCCATGTACAGACTAACCACTCCCACTGCTTGTGCAATGTCTGGTCTTGTGCATATCATAGCGAACATTACACTTCCCACTGCCGATGCATACGATACTCGAGACATCTCTATCCTCTCTTCTTCACTGCTAGGACTCATACCGGAGGATAATTTGAAGTTAATAGGAAGAGGGGTAGAAATTGGCTTACAATCTTGCATGTTGAATTGTGACAAGATCTTCTTCAAGTAATTCTTTTGTGAAAGCCAAATCTTCCTATTACTTATGTCTCGGTAAATTTGCAACCCTAGAATTCTTGTTTGCTGATCCCAATTCCTTCATTTCAAATTCCCTAGCCAATTGTACCTTCAATTCTTCAATATGATCTTTGTTGGGTCCTGCAACCAACATATCATCCATATACAACAACAATATAACAAAATCGTTATCACCAAACCTCTTGAAATAAGCACAAGGGTCTGCATTAAGTCTGTTGTATACAAGGCACATAATGATGGAATCAAAACTCTTATACCAATACCTCAGCTCCTGCTTTAGACCGTACAGAGATTTGTTCAACCTACAAACCAAGTTATTTTTTTTCTTTTTCTTCAAAACCTTCCGGCTGGAGCATATAAATCTATTCTTCAAGATTTCCATGAAGAAAAGTTATTTTAATATCTAGCTGCTCTAGATGTAAATTCAATGTAGACACATTGCCAAGACTACTCGAACAGTTGTTAGTCGAACCACAGGAGAAAAGATTTCATTGAAATCAATACATTCTTTTTTAGCATATCCTTTGACCACCAGTCTTGCACGATACCTCTCAACTTGATCGTTACCATTTCGCTTGATTTTGAAGACCCATTTGTTACCAATTGGCTTCCTTCCTTGTGGTAGTGGCACAAGGTCCCATGTATTATTTTTATGAAGGGCTTCAATTTCTTCTTGCATCGTCATCATCCACAGTGAAGTATCTGAGTTGTTTATTGCCTCATGGAATATTAATGGCTCACCGTCCTCTATTAAAAGGCAATATGCAATATTTTCTTCTATAACATAATCTGAGTTTCAATTGGGACATCTTCTCACACAATCTGATTGACGAGTTATTGGAGCTTCAGAACTCTATGGCTTTTGTTCTTCATGTGTTGGTTCTGCTTCAGAAGAATCTCTTTGTTCAACCTCCTTTTCCACATGTATCTGTGTAGTATCTGACTTTTCAATGCTACTATCTTCTTCTTTTCTTTATAGCTTATCTTCTACAAAGATAACATTCATGTTAATGATCACTTTGTAGGCAGTGGGATCCCACAAGTGATACCCTTTTATATCATTAGCATACCCCAAGAATTTGTATTTCCTGGATTTTGGATCCAACTTTGAAATTTCTTGGGAGTAATACATCACGTACACTATACTTCCAAATACATGGAGGTTTGAATAATCAGCTGGTTTACCAGTCCACATCTCCATCGGTGTCTTCAGCTCTATTGCAGTTGATGAAACTCGATTCTCCAAATAACAGGCGGTATTGACTGCTTCTACCCAAAATGATTTTTCTAGGCCTGCAGCCCTCAACATTGCTCTTGTTCTTTCTAACAAGGTTATGTTCATCCGCTCTGCCACTCCATTTGTTGAGGAGTGTTCGTCACTGTGAACTGTCTTTAGATGCCTTCTTTCCTGCAAAAGTCATCAAATTCTTCACTTGTGTATTCTCGTGCATTATTTGTTCGGAAACACTTGATCT